AGAGAATACGCACTTGTTACTGGTGTCGACTAAAGAGGGACACGATGCTAATAGATCAAGACGGACACGCGCGGCAGTGGCATCCTCAACTCGATCTTCCACGGCTACGAAAAGTACCAGGGCTCGGCCTCGGTGCCGTCCAAGGGCAAGCTCATCTCGTCGTGCAACGGCAAGACGACGGTAGCACTTCTGCCCTTCGACGACCTACGTCCTCATGGTGGCGCTTCTAGACGTACGCCCTCAACATGCTCGAAGAGCGCGGCGAGCTGTTCGTCAAGCCCGGCGAGGACGTGTACACGGGCATGGTGGTCGGCGAGCACTCGCGCCCCAACGACCTCGAAGTCAACGCGACCAAGGAGAAGAAGCTCACCAACATGCGTGCTGCGGGTTCGGTACGCGCCTCGATCCTCCTCACCGGTGCGATTTTCATCCTGGCATTATCGGCATAGGATGAGAACGTCCGCCTCTCGCCGGCGCGCCAAATGTCGCTCGAAGACGTCGTGACGTACATTGGCGAAGACGAGATGATTGACGTGAGCCCGACGCAGATCCGCATCCGCAAGCGGTTCCTCGACCCGAACGCGCGCAAGCGGGCGGGCAAGTAAGCTAGACAGTAGTAATATCGACCGCAGAATAGACGACGCCTTCCACCGTACAGCATTTGGAGAAGTGTCATCTGTTCCGTAGACTGATAACCCAGAATTCGTGCAATGACACGGTGAGCAAAAGAGCCATCCATTCATTCCGTAGCTGAAAAGCACGGCGTCAACACGTCGGCGAGAGAGCGGGCACGGGCAACGCTCGTCTTCGGAGCGTCTGCGAAAAGCTGTCGGTGCCATGACTCGAAGCGGCGACTGAAGGCGATTGGGGCATGGGCCACCAGCTGGTGCCAGGCGCATCCGGATCCAGTGCTGCAGTTTCCTTTCTTGCCGGTCGATCGCAATCGTACGCTCCTCATGTGGTAAAGGCGCCGACGCGATCGCCTTGCACGACTCATGGCCCACGATTGTAGGATCTTTGGCTGTACGTACTCGCCCTTCTCGTGCTACGACGCTTCTTCTTACGTGGTGACTCATGCCCACCGACCTTAGATGGCTCCATTGGTATATATGTGCATAATCGACTCTTTTCGAGTGCTCATCCCGTGGCGTCTAGTCTGGAAGACGGACTTTCCGGTCGAAGACACCATGTTTGGCTATGTCGATGGCTGGCACCGGCGCTTCTGGCAGGGCAGTCCCGACCATCGGGGCGTGCCCGGCGCGCTTGGCCGCGTCGTGACGCTCATCAAGGACGCCGACATGGCGCCGTTCGCATCGCTGGACCGCCACGCATCGCGTTGCGCGCCGACGTGGGGGCGCATCTACAAGGTGCCCGCGGACGAAGTGCCCGAGATCCTCGCCCAGCTCGACCACCGGGAAAAGGTAGTCTCATTCACTTCCGCACGTTGTTGTAGAATGACGCAGCTATCGTCCTGACATCATTCTCCGTATAGGCAGGCTACGATCGCGCCGAAGTCGACGTGCACTGCACGGACGGCGTGGTACGCTCGGCGCTAGTCTTTATTGCGACGCCCGACAACTCGGACTTTCTCGGGCCGGCGCCGCTGGATATCATGGCCCACGAGGTAGAAGATCATCGACGTGGGGTGGCATGGTACCTCAACCTCGGTCCATTAGATCCGTACGCGCGTCGGGCCCAGCGGCCCAAACTTGGAGTATTTTGAAAAGCTCTGCCAATGGTACGTACGATGGCAGTGGACCCTGTATCAACACGTCGTAGCATGCGCGACATCCACGTTGAGGACCCGCACTTGCTCGACCTCGAAGCCGCCATCGCGCAGCAAGCTAAAGCGACATGATAACACAGAAGAATGGTAATATCTCGTTACATTAGACAATCTTGTGCCGGGGGCTACCCGGGCGGTCCAGCGCCCGCGGGTACTCGACTGTCACGGTTGCATGAACAGCGTCCACAGTCAAGACGGACTCTTCGTGTAAACCATCAAAGAGGCCAGGAATGAGCCCGCGGTGGTGGCGCTGGCGCAGCTGAACCTTGACCGAGTAAAAGTGGCGCTACGCAACCGCGTCGCACCGCTGTCTTTTATATGTTCTAATACCTTGGAGAGGACGTCTCGGGCCCACAGTTGAAGGCGACGCAGCGCCAGCTCTCGCTCAACGCCAATCGCTTGGTCTCTGACGTCTTGAAGGGCGTTCGAAGCACGCTGCAGGACTGTTTCGAGCTGCGTCAACTGCCGCTCGAAAGTCGCCAACCGAGCGCGGTGAAACGGGGGCTGGAGCGAGCTCAGGAGGCACCACGTCGCATCGAGGCTGGCGCGCACATCGTCGTCGAGCGGCTTCAGAAACGCTATCGCAGCATCGCACCAGGACAAAGGGACCACGCGCGCCGCGAGCCAGAGACCCACGTCCGCAATCTCACATTGCAGAATGTAAGCCGAGAGACACAGACTCTGGAAGTGATCTGCGGCAGTGAGGCGGTCGAGGGCGGCGGCCGGCGCATCGATCAGTGTCCGCACATGCTGGCTGGAAGCGATGCGAGAGAAGCCAGCGAAGCTCGCACCCAATGCATGCCTGCGGGTGGCAACGCCATCCCACGTGGTCGCGTTATGAGTTGGAACCAGGCGTACATCAGTACGTACAGCTTTGTGACGACGAAGCGTTCACTTTTCGTATCCTACCTTGCTCTTGCCTCAACTTCACGGCATTCAAACACACATTTCTTACTTGTTATCCATCAATGCGACTTCACGTATACAACACAGTCAGACGTCGTCGCTTTAGACCAGAATTTGCTTGACGAGCGTCGCCTGGTCCACCGACGGACGCGGGATCTTGCCGTTGGTGCCACCGAGGTAGTTGCACCACACCAGCGAGTCGTCCTTGCCAACGCTTGGGTTGTAGTACGTCGAGTAGCCGCACGCTACTTGGTTGACACCCGGGTCCATCGAGTTGGAGAAATGACCCGTCGTCATCCAGTTGCCGTCCTTGCTCTGGTTGCTGTCGTAGTCCCAGAGCTTTTCCTCGCTCGAGTACCAGTTCCAGGCCGGGCCAGCCGTGTGCATGCAGTCGTTGTTGCAGACG